AGATTTTTATTGATTTCAGAGAGGAAGGGAGAGGGAGAGATAGAAACATCAATGACGAGAGAGAATCATCGATCAGCCGCCTCCTGCACACCCCACACTGGGGATCAAGCCCACAACCCAGGCATGTGCCCTACCAGGGAATCAAACCGTGACCTCCTGGTTCATAGGTTGATGCTCAGCCACTGAGCCATGCCTGCCGGGCTTGGAGAGTGTTTTCTAACAGTGAGGTGAATCTGGTGTATCGGTCAGGAGACAAGCACACTGAAAAGAGTTTAAGATAAGGACTATTTACAAAGGTCTGAGCAGGGTTAAGGGAAACCAGCAAGGCTGGTGTAGCACTCAGGGACCAGCATGAGTGGAGATTCGCAGGGAGGGAGCAGGAGAGGGACCCAAGGAGAGTGGAGGCTGTAACAGAGGCTGTAATTTTTAAAAATTGAAATTTATTTGACAGATAACATTGAGAAAATTTAAGGTGTATAGCATGCTGTTTGGTACATTTATATATTGTACTATGATTGCCATTATAGTGAGAGTTAGGACCTGTATTGTGCCAAGAGGTCCAAGAGCACCCATAGGGGAAAGGACAGTCTGGAAAAACAGGATAAACAAATGCAGAATGGCCAAACCGGACCCCTGTCTCACACCACTCACCAAAATTAACTCGAAATCGGTCAAAGACTTACACGTAAGACCTGAACTATAAAATTCCTCGCAGAGAACAGAGGAAAGAAGCTCCTTGATATTGGGCAATGCTTTTTGGATATGACACCAAAAGGACAGGCAACAAAACAAAAATAAATCAACAAGTGGGACTACATCAAGCTTAAAAGCTTCCGAACAACAGAAGAAAGCATTAGCAAAGCAAAAAGCCAACCTGCAGAACGGGAGAAATTTTTTTGCAAACCATATATTGGAAAATGGGTTCAGATTCAAAATACATAAAGAACTCATACAACTCAGTAACCAAAGAAACCTCCCAAATCCAACTAAAAAAACGGGCAGAGGAACTGTATAGACATTTTTCCAAGGAAGACATCTAGATGCCAGTAGGCAGAGAGGATTGTCCGATGGGAGCTGTGGCCTTAGGTCGAGGAACACAGCCACTGCCAAACAGGGCCGTGGCAGGGGAACGGGGAGAACCAACGTTCCATCCCCTCCTGCCCTCTACTCTCCTGTTGCCTTCCACTGTCCTGACCCAGCAGGGAGCCAGTGGGCAGGGGAGCCTGGGCAGTGCCATCTCTAGTGGTCAGCCTTTTACCTAGGAGTGAATCTAGAGCAGCGGTTCTCAACCTGTGGGTCGCGACCCTTTTGGGGCTCGAACGACCCTTTCACAAGGGTCGTCTAAGACCATCGGAAAACACATATATAATTACATATTGTTTTTGTGATTAATCATTATGCTTTAATTATGTTCAATTTGTAACAATGAAAATATATCCTGCATATCAGATATTTACATTACAATTCATAACAGTAGCAAAATTAGAGTTATGAAGTAGCAACGAAAATAATGTTATGGTTGGGGGTCACCACAACATGAGGAGCTGTATTAAAGGGTCGCGCATTAGGAAGGTTGAGAACCACTGATCTAGGGGAATAACAGAATTCCAGGACCCACTTTTTTTTTGGTGTAAGATCAGTATAGACAAGGCTGCCTATCCTTCAGGAACTGGAGGCCCAGTGCCCAGGGTCCATGAAACTTTTAGGAGCCCACAGAAATGTTTCACTTCTTTTAAAATCAGAAGAAAGAATTAAACTTCAAGTCAAAGAAAATATTTTAATACCTACTATGAGGTGAAATTCACATAACAGAAAACCAACCATTTCAAAGTGGCAGTCAGTGGCATTTGGTGCATTCACAATGTTGTACAACCATCACCTCTACCTAGTTCCAAGATTATATAGTCATCTTTATATCAATGCAGCTGTGAAATACAATTTTAATATATTTTTTTAATGGAAGAAAGAATCCACAGAGGTAAAAGTTCCTCAGGCCCTTGGAAGTCACAATTTCTAAGCTGCCCTATATATGTAAGGCCAGCATGTCACAAACTTGTGGCTCGTGGGCCACAGGCCTCTTTTAAATAAACTCCTGAGCTGGGAGTTTGACATGCTTGATGTAAAGTGCTTAGTTGGTAAAAGGTTAGGAAGGTGTTTATTTTTATATGTATTTTATTAATGTGTATTAAAACATAATTAGCTGGGATAGGGGCGGGGGCGGGCTAGAAGAGGTCAGTGGGGAAAAGGGGGACATACCTAAGACTTTCAACAATAAAGATGAAAAAAACATAATTAAAGACCCAATGTATCGAAAGCTTCCATTTCAGATACATTTATTTAGAACGTAAATAAGATTACATGGATATGGCCGCATTTAAAGAGCAGACACTAAAGTCTGACGTAGGGAAAACAATGAGATTCTGAACACCACATTTCCCTTCAAAGGTGGGTCCGAAAGGACCACCGGGTCAAAGATGATAACCATTTCCTTCCCAAGAGGCTCTTCTCCCGTCCTGCTGCTCACCCAGGCACTCGGCAGAGCAGCTGCATTTATTGGGCGCCCACTGTTTGCCAGGCACTTGCTGTCATCGATTTTGTTGTTGAAAGGCCACTTGTGAGCATCTCCAGGCCAGACACCAAACCATGTGGAGGGCTCCGCATGCGGTGGCCTTGTTAGGTTGGCTCATTAGATGGGACAGCCACCAATTGCTTGTGATGATCTTACCGAATAAAGACAGGGCTGGAGTCCAGGAGTGGCAAAAGAACCTAATATATCGCGGTCTCTTTCTCTGCCTCTTCCCAGACAAGCAGGGAAGCAATTCTGAGACCCTCACTCTTTTCTGCCAAGTCGTGACCCTTGAACCCTAGGCAGAGTCCTCAGGTGTCCCAGCCTGGGCACATCCCAGCAGAAGCCCCTCCCCTGCTGTCTGGATTCTCTTCGAGTTTCTCACCCGCTTCCTCCACCCTGTCACCCTCCCTCTGCCCACATCCCACTCTGTCCTGCTCCTCACCAGGCCCAGGCCCTCTGTTCCCCGCAGATAGACGATGAGCAGCCACGCCAACAGCCTGTTCCTGCGGGAGAGCGGCCAGCGGCTGGGCAGGATGGGCTGTCTGCAGCGGCTGCAGGACAGCATGCAGCAGAGAGCACTGCGCACGCGCCTGCGCCTGCAGACCATGACCCGCGAGCACGTGCTGCGCTTCCTGCGCAGGAACGCCTTCATCCTGCTGACCATCAGCGCTGTGATCATAGGTGAGTGGGCTGGGAGGGCGGGGACTTCAGGGACATTCCTTGCACTCACGTCTCTTCATTCCACCAACTCGTTCTCACCTGCACACATTCACATCTTGTCCTACCAGTGACCGTTCCTGTGTAGAACACACACGCAGATAGTGCACACTTAGGCAAAAACAGCTGTGCCCACACAATGTCATATGTATATGTATGTGTGCACATACATATGCACACTATACAAACACACTTTCTACATATGAATACACAAACATGAACACATTAATTTACGCATGCACAGAACTTACATTTGCAAAGACGTAAACTCACACAGTTGCACACATACTGGAACTTGCATGCACTTCCACACACCACACACACACACACACACACACACACACACTCCTCTGCACACACTCTGAGCTTAAATACACATACACTTCCGTGGAGCCGTGGGACCCGCCTCTGTGCTGCACACGCAGCATCAAGCCCCCGCTCACCCATGCGTGCCGCTGCCCACGCAGCCTTCTGGTGATTGCTCGTTACAGCGTGAGTGTGTCACGACCACATAGGCTGTTATTATATAGGATAAGTCACACCTCTATACACACATGGGAAAAACATGTGCATGGGTCCACATATACAAGTACAGACACATGCACAAATGAGTGTATGCTGTCGCATATGCATGCTTGTGTGCAGATCTTTACACACAAATTTACACAGTATCAACGTAACATAAACCCATTCATTTTTACAATGTACACACACACACACACACACACACACACAGAATGTTTCTTTCTCTCACCTCCATCGACACACACCCTTCTTGGGATGGATGGCTCCTGCTTGGGGCTGAGTGACCCAAACTCCCCTCCCTAGGGGTCAGCCTGGCCTTTGGCCTACGCCCGTACCAGCTCACCTACCGCCAGATCAAGTACTTTTCTTTCCCTGGAGAGCTTCTCATGAGGATGTTGCAAATGCTGGTGCTGCCGCTCATCGTCTCCAGCCTGGTCACAGGTGAGAGAGCTCAGGCCAGTGCTGGCCTCCAAGACCCACCCCGCAGCCCAAGCTTAAACCTGGAGCCAAAGTGGTCCCAAGCATGGGACCACTTCCCTAATTTAGGACCTCAAACATGGAGTGTGCACCTAGCCCAGAGTTCTTGGCCAAAGCCCAGATCCTGATCAGACCCAGGTTCTGGGCCCTCTCTTATTTATACCACTTATCTCAGTAACTTTTCCATATTTTTCACTGGAGATAAAATACCAGCATGCCAGGGAAGGTAGGGGGGATACGGCATGGATGGTCAGGGAGTATGACTTGGATCAGGTGTTTGAGGTAGAGGTGACAGGATGGTGGGTGAGGGTGGGATGGACTATGCAGGGGTCAGTATTTTTTTTCTGTAAAGGACCAAATAGTAAATATTCCTACCTTAGGGGCCATATGCTCTCTTTCATGACTATTCAATTTTGCCATCTTAGCGCTAAAACAGATGCAGATTAATATGTGCATAAATGGGTGTGGTTGTGTTCCAGTAAACCTTTATTCACAAAAACAGGGAGTGGGCCAAATTTGGCCCTTGGGTGGTTGATTGCCAATCTCTAGATTTTGTGATAGGCATGAAGACGAAGGCATGAAAAATGCTTTCTTGGGTTGGGTTTTCTGGAAGTAGAGCATGAGATATTTGCACAAGTAATTTATTCAGGACTGCTTTCAAAGAAACCTATGAGGGAGTGAGGGAAGAGGATGAGGTGAGGAAAGAAACTAAGCTGAGAGGTTCCAGAAGACTGGCCTCTGGAGGGAGCTCTGGAGCATGAGCCACACCACAGAATTGTTCCTCTTAACTCTGGTCCCATTGGAGTCAAAAGAGCTGGATTTTTGAATCCTTGTACCAGACACTGACTGTAGGTCTGCCTTGGGGCCTTTCTGAGCACAATTCTCAGGGGAAGGGGGCAGCATGAACTGTTAGCAGCCCACACACTCAGCAGCTGAAGGATAGGGGTATCAGCCTGGTAAAGGGTATCTAGATAGGGCACCAAAAGCATCTACTACAGATAGTGTACAGTGAGCTGGGTTGCAGGGAGGTGTCACTACGGGATGGATAGTGGGATGGAGAGTGGAACAAAAGTGAGGTTATAGTACACAATAGGGGTAAATGGAGGATGGGATGGGGTTGAAAAGGTTAGCTTGGAATAGAGGGAAGCTTGGTTAAGTGGTGCTTGGGTAAAGGATGGGGAGGAAGATGTATATGGAAAATAGAATGGGGGTTGAAGAATGATGGTGTGGGTGCTGGGTGGGTGTAAGAGGAAGGAATGCTTGGTGGAACGGTCGAGCTGGTGGTATGGGGAGAGAGGAGTGGCTGGATGGGAGAGTGGGTGGTGGGGTGTGAATGGAGATGCTTGGGTCTGTACCACCTGTCCTCCAGGTATGGCATCCCTGGATAACAAGGCAACAGGGCGGATGGGGATGCGGGCAGCTGTGTACTACATGGTGACTACGGTCATTGCGGTCTTCATCGGCATTCTCATGGTCACCATCATCCATCCTGGGAAGGGCTCCAAGGAGGGGCTGCACCGTGAGGGCCGGATTGAGACCATCCCTACAGCTGATGCCTTCATGGACCTGGTCAGGTGATGTCCTTTCTAATTTCGATGGGAATTCTGGCCCCATGTGTATCAATGTATACTCAAGGAGAGACAAAGGGGACAGGCTGACCCAGCCTGAAAGTGCAACATCCAAGTTGGGCCTAGTTTTATTGATGTCCATATTCTGGCTTGGAGCTTTGCACAAATTCTCTGAGAGCAGCTGACTCCTAGGATAGGAGATTTTGACCCTTAGCTTAGGGAAGCTATATCTTGGGATAGGCTCAGGACAGACGATGTTTGCTGTTCCGAGGATCTGTTGGAGGGTGAATGATTCTCTTAGAACAGGAAGATTTTGCCAGCCTACTTAAGGCTAGCCATAGTTCTACCCTAGCCGCTGACTTGGGGGGAGGTGGAGGAGTGCAGGAGCTGAATGGTTTATTTTATTCTTTTTTGAGGCATCAATGGCACATGTATATGAATTGAAGTCCCTGTATATGAATAGTGTCCTACTATAGGATCTAGACAGACCTGAGATGGATTTGAGGTCCATCTGTATGCCTTAGCAGTTATGTAGCTTTGCGTAACTTACATAAAATATTTTGTTCTGTGTGTGTGTGTGTGTGTGTGTGTGTGTGTGTGTGTGTGTGTGTGTGTGTGTGTGTAAAATGGGGACATCAATAGCACTCGCTTTTAGGGATATTGTCATGTTTAAGTCAGAACATATAGGTAAGGCACTTAGCTTACTTAGCTTGGACTAGGCAGTGGTTCTCAACCTTCTGGCCCTTTAAATACAGTTCCTCATGTTGTGACCCCCCAACCACAAAATTATTTTCTTTGCTACTTCATAACTGTAATTTTGCTACTGTTATGAATCATAATGTTAAATATCTGATATGCAGGATGGTCTTAGGTGACCCCTCTGTAAAGGGTCATTAAACCGCCAAAGGGGTCGCGACCCACAGGTTAGGAACCACTGGACTAGAGTAAGTGTTCAAATGTTGGCTGCCATTATTACTGTTGCCTTTGCTAATATTATTACTATTATCATCCTAGATGCCTTTCTAACAGCTAATCTCTTCCCTTCATCTGATGTTTTTCTGCAGAAATATGTTTCCGCCCAACCTTGTGGAGGCCTGCTTCAAACAGGTCAAGGAAAAGAACAGTTTGATCAAGGAGGGTTGGAGGGCAGTGGGGACGTGCTGCTGAGGGAATGGACCAGGAATCAGGGGTGGGAAGATGGGCCTGACAGAGCAATGGCCATTGGCATGATGTTCAAGGGAGGGTTAGAGAGAAGGATATAGGCCAAGGGCTTCCTGGGGATGGTACTAGAGGAGGAACCAAGACTTTTGACTGGAGACAGGCCCCCAAATCTGAGCATTGCCCAGGGAGCTTGTGAAAACTGCAGACTCTACTCATTCTTTGATGATCTGGTCATTCACTCTCTCATTCTTCTACTCATTCACTCATTCTTCTATGCATTGGTCAAATCATTCATTCATTCATCAGATCTGTTGAATAAGACTCTCCAGGCTGTAGGAATCAGGAATTGGTATTTGAAAGACATTTCTTCAGGTGATTCTGATGCATCCATTGAGTTGAATTTGGCCCCAAATCTCTCCATATTTCAGTTCAAGACGCAGTACAGCACGAGGTTGGTAACCAGGACCGTTGTGAGGACAGAGAATGGATCTGAGCAGAGCGCCTCCATGCCTCCTCCATCGTCAATGGAGAATGGAACCAGCCTCCTGGAAAATGTCACACGAGCCTTGGGCACCCTGCAGGAGGTGCTGACCTTTGAGGAGATTGTGCCTGTGCCTGGCTCAGCCAATGGCATCAATGCCCTGGGCCTTGTGGTCTTCTCTGTGGCCTTTGGGCTGGTCATTGGTGGCATGAAACACAAGGGCCGAGTCCTGCGGGACTTCTTCGACAGCCTCAATGAGGCTATTATGAGGCTGGTGGGCATCATTATCTGGTGAGTGCTGGACTGTGTAGGGTGAGTGGTGATGGCACAGGGAAGGATGGAGCCAGGGATGGGAAGTCAGTCAGTTGGGCAGCTGCTGATAAGGTCATCAGGACCATTTGGCCAAAGTCATTTATATATGTATTGGTTAATTCACTCTCTCATTTACTCATTTGATCACTTATTTATTTATTTTTTTTAAGAATTTTTGATCACTTATTTATTCACTCTTTTCTGCAATGATTTATTCACTCATTTACTTCTGTATTCATCTGTGCATTGGTTAATTCAATCATTCATACATTCATTCATTCATAAATTCATTCATGAACTCATTCATAATTAATTAATTTACTTACTTATTCAGTCATTTATTCATTTGGACCCACTTATTCATCTCTGCATTTATTCACTCAGATATTTCCTGCACTCATTCATCCATTGACTTAACACACTCATTTGTTCACTCTCCCTCTCATTCATGTCTCATTTACTCATCTTTCACTCATTTATCCACTCACTAATTATTCCTTAATTGATGCATGTATTCATTTATTCTTTAAATCCCTTTACACCTTCACCAATTTCTTCTCTTATTTAGCAGACATTTCCCAGGCTGACTTTGTCTCGAATTCTGGAACAAAGATGCATTAGTCTTTGTCCTCAAGGAGCTTACAAAGTCTTGGGAGAGACAGACACATACTAGATCAATATAATACAAGGTGGAAGGTTCTATAGTAATGGGATGTTAAAAAATGTGAACATGGAGAAGGGAGCCAATGGAGGGATACGCAGTGAACTCTTTCTGGGAAGGTGAGGAGGGAGTAATGAAGAAGGTCACCTATTAGAAGGAGACCTTATAAGATTGCATGCCATGGGCCTTGAGAGGTGAGTGGGAATCCAACAGGACAGAAAGAGGGGAGAGGTACTTCAAGCAGAGGGAAGAGAACATGCAAAGCTGAAAAAACCTGAGTTGCTTGGAGCATGGCGAGGAGTTCAGGAAGGCAGGAGCATACAGCAACTTGGGAGTTGCGATGAAAGATGTTAACAAGGCTCTCTGGTTCCAAATCAAGAAAGACTTAGTATATCATCCCAAATGATTTTAAAGTTGTCTAGGGGGTTAGAGGCCAATTTAAGAACTTGGAAAAACAGCTGAGGGGGAAGGGAGGGGGAGCTTATCAAGGATAAGCAAGAAGATTGATGGGTATTGAAGGCTCAACTGAATTGAGAACCATGAGTTTATAGTGGTGTCCTTGGCATGGCTGGGGGAAATATCCGTATATGCCAGGTGGCTGAGTACAGGAGGAGAGAAGTGATATGCAATTGATTCAGAGTTAGGAATTTTACACAGGATGGGATGGAAGGATGGAGGTGAGAGAGTTGGGAAAGGAGTTTGCAGAGTAATCATAGAGATAAGTGTAGACCTGGAGATAAATCAACAACCACTGCCCAAGGCTAACCCTGAGACCAGCTTGAGTTTGTCTGGAGAAGACCCTGCATCCTCATTCTCATGACTTAGCTTCAGTTTCATGATTTCTGACCCAAGTTATTGAACCACATTCCTGAGAGTTCCTCACCTCCTCCAATACATCCACCATGACAATGGCCAAGCATAGCCTTCAGTTTCTAAAGAGAGAGGAATAACAGTTGAAGCCCAGTGATGCGTGAATGATGGCATCACTGGCAGACACTCACAAGACTAAGCAATGGGTTAGTGTGTGGGGAAAATAGGTGAGCCATTGAAGAACTCACTTCTGTCTCCTCTACTCTCCTTTTCACTCACTGAAAGATTAGGTGTCCCAGCTAATTGGTCTTCTTTCTGCTCCTCCAATACTCCCAGTTCATGCTCATCTCAGGGTCTTTGCACTATGCCTGCAATGCTTCCCCCTCAGAAATACATGGTTCCTTCTCATGATTCAGGCCTCAGCTTAAATGTCACCTCTTCAGATACGCTCTTTCTGACCTCTCACATTTAAGCAGCCCCAGTCAATGACTATCTTTTGTAGTTATCACCCCCTGAAGTTCTTTTAATGACATGTTTCTATGTGCACTGTGTAATTTCCTCATTTGAGTGTAAGCACCATGAGGTCAGGGACTGTGTGACTGCAACACAGTAGGTGCTCAATAGATATTTATGGAATGAGTGAATAAACAGATGATTTGATAAGATAGGTTATTTGAAATGTCTGTGGGAAATCCAGGTGAAATAGCTCAGGGCTGGTGAATGAGTGAGAATATGCACTGATAGGCAAGAGAATAGGGGCATGGAAGTGAGAGGTGTAGAACAAAGAGTTGGGGGCAGTGAATAAGGAAGTTACAGGGCCAGAGCTAGGGATTGTCTGGGCAATGTTTCGAGAAAGAGCCCCGAAGAGAGTAATTTTGGGGAGGGGGACTTGGATGGGGGTGTGGATGAAGGAGAGACCTTATAAGATTGCATGTCATGGAGTCGTAGGAACTTTTCTGTTGTCTGGGGTTGACCTGTAGGTGAGCAGGAAGAGCAGGCAGGACATGTTTGTGGGTGGTGTTGAGTGCTGAATGCTGGGCACTGTCTTGCTCTAGGGTCTTATAAGGGCAAAGCCTTGGGACGCCAGCTCTGGGCTTGCAGTGGAAGTCATGAGGGAGCCCTGACTGGTGTCTGGTTTGGCCCAGGTACGCACCTGTGGGCATCCTGTTCCTGATTGCTGGGAAGATCCTAGAGATGGAAGACATGGCCGTTCTGGGGGGTCAGCTGGGCATGTACACCCTGACTGTAATTGTGGGCTTGTTTCTCCATGCCGGTGGTGTCCTGCCTCTCATCTACTTCCTCATCACCCATCGGAACCCCTTCCCCTTCATCGGGGGCATGCTGCAGGCCCTTATCACTGCCATGGGCACATCTTCCAGGTATGACCTTGTCTCCCAACACTGGTACACTTCCTAGGTTTATTTATCTTCCATGGGCTCTTCTGGGGTACCTGCCCTCTCCCTGCTGCAGAACATTTTCTGAGTTGTTCAGTAATGTCAGGGGTTCCTGAAGGTGGCTAATCTGGGCACTGTTTTTGTCCTGGGCTGTCTCTCCTGACCCCTTTTCTCCTTTCTTGTGTCTCTATTTTAAGTGGAGGAGAATCAGCTGCCACTTAAACAAATATTTTTATTGATTTCAGAGAAGAAAGGAGAGGGAGAGAGAGATAGAAACATCAACGATGAGAAGAGAATCATTGATTGGCTGCCTCCTGCACGCCCCCTAGTGGGGATTGAGCCTGCAACCCCAGCATGTGCCCTTGACCGGAATAGAACCCGGGACCCTTCAGTTTGCAGGCCGATGCTCTATCCACTGAACCAAACCAGCTAGGGCCAGCTGCCACTTTTGGGGTTAGGATGAGGGCTCCACCATGCCCCATGTTCCCAGTCATTTTCTAGCTCAGAGAGTCTCACTCTCTTTGAGATGGTGCCTGAAAGCTCTCTTGACTTCCTTCTCCTTTTTGGGGGGTTTCAGGTTAATAAAGAGCTACCCTTTCTCTCACTCAAATTCAAAATAATTTGAGATGTATCACAAACACCAACCAGATGGAAGAAAAGTATCTTTTTTTTATTGCCCATGATGCTGATGGGTGAATGTGCCTTTTGACCTGTGGCCAAGTAGGACTGATGCCACTGTACCCCAGAATTGAACTCACCTGGGCCAGAGCTAGGGCTTGTCTGGGCAATGTCTTGCGCAAGAGTTCTGAAGAGACTAATTTTTGCGGGGGGACTTGAGTGGGGCTGGACACCCAAAGGCCCTCTCCGTGTTCAGGTTTTTCCCTGCATGACATAAAGCTGACCAGACGGAGCACATGTTTTGTGGGCAGGCTGATTCCCTAATGAGATGCCCACTCTTTGGACAAAACTCACCAATCACCCTTCCTCCTCTAGGGAGTGGTTGGGAGAGAGACCGAGAGGATTAGTGTAGCTGAGGTCACTCCCTGACCAAACTCGGGGAGTGAGGAACGGTGGTCCCCTATAATATCCCTGGCCTAGCCCTGAGAGGAGGACAGCCAGAATACCTTTAGTCCTCCCTTTCTGGGGGTGGATAGATAGAGTGAACTAGTGGCATGAACCAGTGTAGTAACTATCCTTAAGCTATTGGCTTTAACTGGGACAAGGAACCTTTAGCCTGGAGGACACCATTGCTGTGAGCTCCCTGTGTTGTGAGGAGTCCCGCTTCCGCATGCAGTTATCAGCCTCTGAAATGTTAGACCCCTGCCATCTGCCCCTGGCTCTGGCTTCCACCCGGCCTTCCAATGTTCTCAAGGGGAACCCTCCTTTGGCCTATTGCTGCTCCAGCCCCGCACCGCCATCCCCTGCTCTCAGCCCCTGGGGCTCTCTCTCCCAGCTCTGCGACACTGCCCATTACCTTCCGCTGCCTGGAGGAGGGCCTGGGTGTGGACCGCCGCATCACCAGGTTCGTGCTGCCCGTGGGGGCCACTGTCAACATGGACGGCACTGCCCTCTACGAGGCCCTGGCAGCCATCTTCATTGCCCAAGTCAACAACTACGAGCTCAACCTGGGTCAGATCACAACTATCAGGTGAGATAGTCTTTGTGGGACCTGCCAGCTGTTGAGACCTAAGAAGTCATTAGTGTGGCTCGGGGAGGAGGCAGCTCAGAGTCAAGGGAGGCTTTGGATGCTAGCAGGGAGATGTGGCTAGAGGCCACTAATTTTTGCCAGATGAGGTTCAAGGCAAGTCTGCAATCTGAGACTGTCAGGAGCTGGCCGGGTGTTCCAATCAGATCTCCTCTCACATGCTATTGTGGGAGACCCTTTGTCTCCAGTATTTTTCAAATGGCCTGAGGTTCTTGTTATAAATATGGATTCCTGGGCTGCATCACCCAGAAGTCCTGACTTAATCATTATAAAAATAGTGCAAATGCTATCACCTCCTTCAGGTCTATGCTCCAATGTCACCTCTTCAGGGAAGCATTCCCTGAATACCCTATTTAAAATTGCATGTCTGGGCTTTCTTAGGCTGAACCCGTTCTCCATGGCACAATCTGTTTTAGTAAATATTTTACTGACTCATTTGCTTATTGCCCGCGTCCCCTACTAGATGGTAGCCCTGTTTGGGCAAGTCTTTTCTTTTATGGGAATCTCTACTAGTTATATAATACATGGTAGATGGCCAATAAATACGGGTTGAACTAGTTAATTTACTGAAGGCTCTTTAAATTCTTATGTAAAATGACTTCATGCCCATTTGCTCGATTCCCACCATACCCCATGAGATGAGTCAAATAATTGTTTTGGAGAGGAAGAAATGAAAATTGAGGCAGGTTAAGTTACTTGCCCAAGGTCACCTAGTGGTAAGTGCAGAGCATGGGGTGGGAGGAGGGATGAATGGGTGGGAGGAAGCTGTGTTAGGAAGCAGAGGCATGTATATGTGGGCAGTAGTTTCAGATTCTCTTGCCCACGGGAAGGGGTTGAGTCATCAGACCTGCCTTCTTCTGTCCCACACTCAGCAACCCCATGCTGCCTTCATGTGCATAGGAAGTACCTGGAGCTCATGGGGCTAGGGTTCTCCATTTCCTGTGGTTCCGGTAACAGGTCTCATAAGTATTCACTATTAGGGAGTAGCCTCTTGTCCAATCAGTCAGCAAATGTTTATTGTAGTAGTACTGACTTGGTTCCAGGAGCTGGGAATATGGCTGCGAACAACACACTCATAGTTCTGCACTGCGTCTTTTGAAATCAGATGGCACAGCTGACTCAGGGTCCTGGGAAGGTGCCATTGAGGATTTCCATCACGGCTTGGGCTGCTGGTAGTACGGACTCTGCATGAACTCCCAGCATAGGCTGGCTAGAATGTGCTGGACACAGCTCTGCAAGGCTCTTCTCTTATTCAGGGATTTTTTTGGAGGACGATGACACTCAGTGTGACTCCTGTGCTGATAGAGGCCCAAGGCCAATTTCTTGGCTGGTTGGGAGATCCTACTTTGCACCTGATCTGAGCTTAACCCAAAGAAGTTCGAGTTGGCTTCTTGGATCAAGCTGGAATTAGCTCACCCATTGAGAGTGTGCTATGTGCCTCTCGAGGGCACCCACATGCCAGGGCTGGTGTTTAGGGGAGATAGTCTCTCTTATTTAGAATAATGGTAATAATAGCCCTTCCTGAAGCCCCATTCATGAAACACTGTGCTCTTTTACCCTCACAATAACCTATAAGGTAGGTATACATCTCCCATTCTACAGATGAGGAAATAGAGGCTCTGAGTTTATGTACAAGGTCATATGGCTAATGAATGGAGTCTACTGGGTCCCAAAGTCCATTCTTTGTCCATGAACCCAAGTGCTCAGTCACTGTTCTGATAGAGACATCATCTTGGCTAAGTGTCCTAAGTGGCCCCATGGTCATAATTATAAAATTTGGGAAGGTTCTTCTAAGGCCACCAGATAGAGGTGTGTAACTTCAGGGCACTAAAGCCTTTCCTGGCAAGCTCAGTGGCTTTAGAATTCTTCTTAGCACCCCATACCAGGCAATCAGAGTTGATGTAGGAGCTAAAATCTAGCTTACTCTTGATCCAGTCAGATTTGTACCAGACGTTGGGCCACTATCTCTTTTATTTTCCATATTTTAGTTTTCAAAACCATATGAAATTATTATTTACTTGCTCAGCATCATAGACAATTTCTTCTTTTGGTTCTAAACTTGGCCCCTCTTCCAGAGTTCCATTCCTAGCAGCTGTACCAACCTACCTATTTCCAATATATGTGCCTACAGGGAACTCAATCTCCTGGTTCATGGCTGCTGCCTGGGGTGATTCTTCTGCCCTCTTCCAGCCCACAAGGCAGTTCAGTTAAACACCTACTCTTGCACCTACAATATGAGTTGTCTAAATATTCAAAGGTCCATCTTAGATGGACTTCCAAACAGATCCCGGCAAAGGATGAGAAGACCCATCTGTACTGGCACTCCATGAGTCACACTGGATTTGCCTTTTATTTGGGGGACTTTAATTTAAGATGCCCTGGGGAACTCACTTCTTTCCTTCTGCATACTCTTTCTCACTATCTTTCTCATCTCTCCCTTTTCGTCTCCTGCTTCCCTGTGTTCTCTCTCCATTTGCAGTATCACTGCCACAGCGGCCAGCGTTGGGGCTGCTGGCATTCCCCAGGCGGGTCTGGTCACCATGGTCATTGTGCTCACATCAGTCGGCCTGCCCACTGAAGACATCACGTTGATCATAGCTGTGGACTGGTTCCTGTGAGTGTCCTTCAGACCCTGCTGCTCTCTCTCCTCGAACCCCTGCTTTCCATTCAGGATCCCCCAACCTATGAGTCCTCATTCTAGCAAGGACACAGAGTTCTAGAATTTTAGAGTGAAAGGGGGCCTTGGGAATACTCTGAACCATGGCCTGTGGATCCCAAAGTCCATTGAATTAACCTTGGGAAGTAGGGCAAAAAGGAGATAAGTGATGGAGGTTTTACCCATCAACCAGAAAGGCCCCCCTTTTACACGTTTTATGTAGAAGTCACAAAAGGTGATCTGTGGGAAGGAGCTGGAATGAAAATATATTTTTAAAAGTCTCAACTTTAAAAATAGGAGGTTTACATAAAATAAGTCTGGACTTCCTCATTCTATATGCTGTTCAGCTCATAACTCCTAATTTTCTGTATTGAATATTTACATCCTTAAAAAATTTGTGTTGCTGAGATCAAATGTGAGCATATCAGAGCTGACCTTAATTACTCATTCCCCTCCATTCTCTTTCTGTTAGGAGGGGAACTGAGGACAGAGAGAGGAGGAGACCTGCTTGGTCTGGAATTGGATTGGAATGTGAACCCCCCAACTCTCAGACTTAGGGAACCCCCTCTGCCGTATCCTCTCCCCTCGGGTGCTCTTCCGGCCTTGGTTAATGGAAGTTAATGGTTAACATTCTCTCCTCTCCCTTCCCCAGAGATCGACTTCGCACAATGACCAATGTGCTGGGGGACGCCATTGGAGCAGCCGTCATTGAGCATTTGTCTCAGCGGGAGCTAGATCTGCAGGAAGCTGAGCTCACCCTCCCCAGCCTGGGGAAGCCCTACAAGTCACTCATGGCACAAGAGAAAGGGGCATCCAGGGGACGGGGTGGCAATGAGAGTGCCATGTGAGGGATGTCTTGGGAAAAACCCACTGCCTGAATGACCCACACCCTGAACACATATTTTGTCCGACGTGTTTGAGGGAAACTAAGATAAAGGAGCAGGACTGAAAGGATGTCCACAGTCTTCATTTCTCTCTGAGCCTATACTCAGAACTCGAGGGAGGTTGGGCAAGGGTGGAAATCGGAAATGTTTTCCCTGGGGTTGTGGGTATAGGAAGCTTCAGGTTCAACAAGGTGAGGGGTCATCTCATGCTCCTTATTTCCTTAAGGAGCAGTGTAATTGAAGAAGGTAAAGGGAAACCACTATTTCTTATAATAAAACAATATCCATGGCCTGTGTGTTGGGAGGTTCTCAAGACCACTTTCAGGTTCCATGATTGGACTTACAAAACTCAGCAAAGCTGTGATGCTCACATTTCTGGTTTATTGCAGTGAAAGGACACAGATTAAAATCAGCAAAGGCAAGTAGCACATGGGACAAGGTCCAGGGAACATCAGATGTGAGCTTCCAGTTGTCCCTTCTTAGTGGAATTGCATGGCTGGCACTTCTTCTGCCACCATCAGTGCATGACAACACCAAGTATTGCCAGCTAGGGAATCTCACCTGACCCTTAGTGTCCAGGGTTTTTATTGGGAGTTTTTTGTGCAGGTATGGAGTGCCTGCTGACCTTAGTTACTCATTCTTCAGTTCCCCCAGAGGCCAGACTAGTACAGCATTGCCCAGTGCACAGAAATAGGCATTTGCTGTACATTACACTGTCAGCATAGACCACCTGGTGTAGCTCAAGACTCCAGGCATACAAAGACACTTAAAAAAATGAAAAACATTTTTTTTACCCCAGTCAGTTTGGCTCAGTGGAGAGAGCGTCAGCCTGCGGACTGAAGGGTCCTGGGTTCGGTTCTGGTTAAGGGCACGTACCTTGGTTGCAGGCTCCTCCTCAGCCCAGGCCCTGGTTGGGACACGTGCAGGAGGCAACCAATCCATGAGTTTCTCTCACATCAATATTTCTCTGTCTTTCCCTCTCTCTTCTACTTGTTCTAAAAATCAATGGAAAAATATCCTCATGTAAGGGTTAAGATAAATAAATAAATAAATTAATTAATTAATGGGATGAGGGAGAATCATGGATCAGCTGCTTTCTGCATGCCCTCTACTGGGGATCGAGCAATCCAGACATGTGCCCTGACAAGGAATCAAAAAAATGACCTTCTGGTTCTTATGTCAATGCTCAACCACTGAGCCACACCAGCCAGGCCAAAGAGACTTTTATCAGGCAAGATATCCCAAGGGCTCAAAGGTCACCTCCCAGGAACCAATAAAGATCCAATCTTTTCTTTGGGATGTGCAGGCTTTGAGCACCCTTAGCCCTCTGACTTAACCTTTTATTTCATACCCTCCACAGTTGAGAATAGAGGAAGCAGCTTCCAATGGGGATGAGTAGCCCCAGCTCTTGATTCCTGAGAGCAATTGGCCTAGACACCCACCCCCATGCTAGCCTCAGGGGGCTCTGTGTCTCCTAACTACACAAGGGTGGACGTTGGCCTCTTAGCATTATTTTCCTGCAGGTGGGACATTAAATGGGACCTTAATAAAGGTTTGGAGAAAACACATGTGAAGTAAACAAAGCGTAAAATGTTTCTACCTATCAGGTAACTCAACTCCATGGCCCTTTTGTCCAGGAAACAGGACATTAATTTTTTTCTAACTTAAATTAAGCTTCACTTGAGCATCTGTTCTTTCCAAGGGGTATTCAAGCACAGGTATGTTTTGGAATCCCAACTTTTAGGATCGTAAGAGAACCATTGGACATAAATAATTGAGAGAACTTGGAAGAGAATTCTAGAATTCTTTGATCTATTTGTAGTTACCATGGAGACATTTACGGTCAGAGACAAGAAATAATTCATGCAAAGGCAAGAGCCTCTTCTGCTTATTGTTGACAAAAGTCCCCAATCTGAGGTGTGGGAAAGAGAGACTTTAGTTAGGTGGACAGTTTGCAACTAGGGGAAATGCAGCCTCTGGTGGAAATGGAAAGTGTGTCTGCTGAGGCAAAGGGAGTCTGCCTCTTACAGAGAAAGTTCCTGCCCTGGTTTCTGATTGGTCCATTTTTAGGTGAATGAGGAATCAAGTGGGCACAGTTTGATTGGTCCAAAGAGCACTATCCTGATTGGTCAGCATCATGTGTTCTGATTGATCATCATGGAGCTGCTCTGATTGGTCAGTGTAGATGAAAATGAAGATGTTACTGTGTAGTTGCAAGATCAGGCAGGTTTCAGCCCACGGGTTGGAAGATGATACCAGGAACTCCCTTATAAGGGTAGACTCAGATGACAGGAACACAGTGCAGAAGGCTGGCAGCTCAGCCTGTGGCTTTTCCCTGAAACGCACAGTGCGGGGGAAGCCTCTGTCAGCCATGGATGCTAGACTCTGGTTATGAATTTGTGCCCAATTAACCACAAGGAGACCTTCTTGCCAGATATAGTCCTTCTGGAGGTTTACACTGTAAAACATCCTACTCCACATTTGACCCTGGGAAACTTTGCCTGGGATCTCAGACTCAAACCAGAAATTCAGCCTCTGGCTTCACACCACCCCATGGTCAGTGGTCTGTGCTTCCAGTGTGCTCCTTGTAGAAGCAGGGTATATGACTTTGCCAGGGCTGCATGACACAGACTGGAAGGCTTAAATAACAGACATTAATTTTCTTATACTTTTGGAGGCTGGCAGTCTGAGATCAAGTTGTCAGCAGGACAGGTTTCTGTTGAGGCTTCTCTCCGTAGCTGGTAGATGGCTCTCTTCTCTTTGCATGTTCATATGATCAATAGATTTTTACATATTGATTTCATATTCTGCAACTTGACTGAATGTCACATAACCTCAGAAATCACCTCTGTAAATGAGTTTGCAGGGCTTCCAAATTAGGTACACATCACATCACTTCTGAGGATACATTTTAAAAGCTTGAGATTTTTTTTTGCGCGCTCTATTTTGTCTTACTGGTTAGTTGACATTCCAATTTAACTCTAATAACATTGACAAATTCTTATCAAAAGCAATGTCAGAGGAAAAAAGTTTATCATTGCCTCCTTTAATCTTTCAAGAAAAATAATCTTAAAAGTTGACAAATTTTAAAAAATGTCATTTTACATCTCACATTTGGAAATCTAGACGGTAGGCTACAAAGAGACGTATGGGCACATGATATGTGTATTGAAATGAGGCTTTCTTAACGAGTTACCTGGGAACCAGGGGAACCTAGACGTCACATCTGGAGGTTAATGCAGCAGCCCTAGGAGTGATTCTGGCTCAACAGGCAGCGCCCTGGGAACAAGCCAAGCTCTGTCTCCACCTCCATCATCCTGAACCTCTGTGGCCAAAGCAGGGCACAGAGTCTCCACATCGGAGATACAGTAGGAGACTTAATATTTTTAAAAAATCCAAGCCATTACTTAAGATAACTGAGAAAGCACCAGGCTTTATTTATATAAGGTTAAAATGACTAGTTGTAAAGTGAAAAAGAGAATCCAAGATATGACCTGAAGAAAAAATGGTGAGAGAACAAAGAAGACCCAAGGAAAGTTTTGCTCTAAAACATATAAGCTTAAGAAAATGGCCTGGCCCTAGCCAACTTGGCTCAGTGGATAGAGCGTCGGCCTGTGGACTGAGGGGTCCCGGGTTGGATTCTGGCCAAGGGCACATGCCTGGGTTGCGGCCTTAATCCCCAGTAGGGGACGTACAGGAGGCAGCCGATCAATGATTCTCTCTCATCATTGATGTTTCTATCTCTCTCTCCTTCTCCCTTCCTCTCTGAAATCAATAAAGAAATATATTTAAAAAAAGAAAAGAAAAATAAAATGGCCTGGCCTGTGTGCTCAGTGGTTGAGCGTTGAGCCAGGAACCAAGAGGTCACTGGTTCGAGTCCCGGTCAGGGCACAATGCCCGGATTTTGGGCTCAATCCCCAGTAGGGAGCGTGCAGGAGGCAGCTGATGGATGTTTCTTTCTCATCCATGTTTTTATTTCTCTATCACTTTTCCTTCCCCTTTCTCTAAAAAATCAATTAAACATATTAAAAAAAGAAAAGAAAATGAAAAATATTGGATAAAAGAAGCCAACATTTCTGGTCCTCAGTATTATGTGCTCAGCTACTCACCGGGGTCCTGTAACTGCTTTATTCCTGACAGTTACCACCCTGATAAGGAGTTCCCCCAGGGCCCTCTTCATGTCCCTGTTCCGAAGACTGTAGATGAAGGGGTTCAGCATGGGGGTGACCATGGTGTACATTACTGAGGCCACCAAACTTGTCCTAGAGGATGAAGTGGCTGCAGAACTGAGGTAGACCCCCAGACCTGTGCCGTAGAACAAGGAGACCACTGACAGGTGAGACCCACAGGTGGAGAAAGCTTTGTACTTGCCACCAGTGGAGGAAATCCTCAGGATGGAGGACAAAATCTGAGCATAAGAAAAGAGGATTCCAGAGAGCGGGAGAACAGCTAGGACAATAGTCACAAAATATACCACCATGTTATTGACGAGGGTGTCAGAACAGGTGAGTTTCAGGACTTCAGGGAGATCACAAAAAAAGTGTGGGATTTCAATGTTTGTGCAGAAGGACAGTCTCAAGACGGTCAAGGTTTCAAGCAGGGAGCCCATGACACTGATGCACCAGGACCCCAGAGCCAGCAGTCCACAGAACCGAGGGCTCATGATGACGGCGTAGTGCAGGGGGTGACAGATGGCCACAAAGCGGTCATAGGCCATGATGGTGAGGAGTAAATTGTCCAAGCACCCAAACACAATGAAAAAAAAAATCTGGGTGATGCAGCCTTCATAGGTGATGGCTCTGCTCTGTGTCTGGATGTTCCACAGCATCTTTGGGATGGTGGTGGAAGTGAAACACATGTCTATCAAGGACAGGTTGGAGAGGAAGAAGTACATGGGTGTGTGGAGGTGGGAGTCGGAGCTGATGGCCAGAATGATGAGCAGGTTCCCGGTAAATGTGACCAAGTACGTGGACAGAAACAGCCCAAAGAGGAGAGGCTGCTGGTCTGGCTTCTCTGAGAATCCCAGGAGGAGAAAGTTTCTGACTCTTGTTTGGTTTCCTCTTTCCATGGAGCTGCTGGGTTTGTCCAGAAGGAGGAAAACAAACAAATAAACAAACAAACAAACAAAAAACAACACAAATTTCACTTCAAATAAGAAATCCTTGGAATGATAGAAATATCCTTAATCCAAACCCAGGAAAATCATAGTCATTCATCTTAGGTAATGATTGGCTGTTTTTGCTGGCAAATTGTGGTTACTGTTGTTACCTGGGAAAATGTCTGTCTCTAAGTCCAGTGGTTCTCAAGTTGCGG